AATTATTATCTTTAAAAAAATTGATTTCAGGATTGGTGGTGATCTTTAAGAATGAATGAATAATACTGCCCACTCATCAACTGCCGATTAATACATTTGTTCCTTGGAGAACCTCCAAAACGGACCAAGTAATGATTTACTAATGTGATGAGATGATATATAGACGATCTATACCCCTCACCAGCTGTAATCCATGTCAGATTCATTAACACTGTCAGTTTTACATCATGGTCAGCGTGAAGTAGAAACTTTATCGCGTACTAATGGCCGAAAATTAGATCCCCATTAGTCTTATCGCATAGAGAGATAGAGATATTTCAACCGTTTCAATATGTTGCAAAATGTCAGAATACTTTCAAATTTCATATTTAGAAAAAAAAAGAAAAATTTCGTTGTACTTTTGCGATTACAATAATCAAACGATTTATATATAATTTGTGTATTTATTTATTTATTTATTTATTTATTTATTCATTTGTTTATTTATTTATTTTATTTATTTGTTTATTCATTTATGTTTTTATTAATTTATATATGTCTTTGTTTATTTATTGATTCATTGTTTTTATTTATTTTATTTTTTATTTTTGTATTTTTTGTGTATTTATTTGTGTATTTTTTTATGTATTTATTTGTGTATTTTATAATTATTTTTTAGGGACTACATACTTTTGACCTCAGGGTATATAATTTTTTTGACAGGTTACTTCTTTGTGATAGGACATTCTAGTACTTGGTCAAGTAAGAGCAACTAAAATAAGTAAAATCAAACTTGAATTCGGTGCAACTTTGGGAAAATATTTTACTGTTTTGCGATGATTTAGTCGCGTAAAGATCACATAAAACTTATTTTTTTCCCAAATTGCACCGATTATAAGCTTGATTTTACTTCGTTTAGTTTTTCCTACTCGACCGAGTACCAGAATGTCCTACTACAGTGTAGGTAACCTGTAGAAAAATGATATACTCCGGAGTCTATTGCCTTTTTCATACATTATATATAAAACCCCAAAATTTGTTCCCGCTTCGAATTCCAATATATATCTTACGTTAGTTTATTGGCCTTCAGTATATTTTCATAAAGTCATGATGAATTTGAGATAAATTCCGATATACAGGAACTATTTAAAAAATCCATGTTGAACGAATATAACTTAATCAAGCCAACTCCAAACTGATTCATAGTTCTTCGGGTTTGCTTGCTCCAAAATTTGGGAAACCAATAAAAAAAACACCGCCATTCCCTGAAGACTTTCTGAATTATCGATCCATTTAAATGAAATCAACAATTTCATTTTAAAATATCATCGATCGCCCAACAATTCACAGAAAATGGAAATATTTTGGTGTTAAAATAATATTTCTCTCTCCTGCAGAAGTTGTAGTAAAATGAAATTTTAAATATGCTATCATTGTTAAATTTAAGGTATCGCTTTCTAAAATATTTATCTCGGAAAAAAATTAAAATGAAAATTTAGCTTGCTCTCTTTTATTTCTATACATAAAAGTCCTTGGAATAAGTATTCAATATGGAGAGACCTCATAACATTTTTGTTTGTAATTTTTCATTGGTTATTATGACCAAAGATATTTTTATTGCTACTATCTTTATATTACAATTTGATATATGAATTGAAAATTCAGGGCGGGGGGATTTTTCATTAGGTATTATGACCAAAGTTATTTTATTGATACTATCTTTATACATTGCATCACATTTTGATATATACATTGAGAATTCGGGGTGGGGGGGGGGGGGGGGGGGGGGAGGGAGTCCTTTGAGTTACAATGAGTCAACAAACAAATAAACAAATAGGTTTTAGAAGGATGCTCAGATTTTACGAATTATTTTAAGCAAAATATACGTAATTGGGCGATATTTCGGTTTTTTAATGAAATTTTGTATGCATTTATATATGACTCGTTAAACTGTACCTGAATATCGAAAAATGATACATGTAGCATTTATAATTCCAAAGATACAGTCAATTCGAAAACTATGAAATATGTCTTTTAATGTATAGAATTTACGTAAAAAGTGACAAACAAGTCAATTTTCACTTTAAACTGTGTTTTTTTTTCTCTCTCTCGAAAATCTGTCCACAGACGTAATGCTGTAAACAATTCCATTTTTATCATGTGAAAATATAAGGGGTCACCAGATTCGTTTTTTTCCCAGTAGAGATGATAAATGTAGAGAGTAACAAAAGGTCAAATTGTAACGTCGTGACTTTTAAAAAAAACATAAATAATTCATATACTTAAATGATTTAGAGAACAAAACAATAAATATATCCAGTGACCCCCGAATATTTTCATATTGTTAAAAAGAAAATTTTGACAGCAATGACATATCATGTGAAAACAAATGCTATGGATGGATTTTCAAGAAATGCCAATTAATAGTAAAAAAAAAAATATGTTTCTCGCCGCTTTTTACACACATTCAAAACATTGATAGACTTATTTCTCAAAAAAATTAATTGACTGTTTCTCTAAAAGTATAAGTGCTATATAATATAGGCCGTATAATATATATGTATCATTTTTTTGTATATTCAGATGCAGATCAACGAGTTCTAAATGCATATGAAATTTCAACAAAATTCGATTTAGAGAATAATCTGAATTTTTTTTATTACAAAACGGCTCGGAGTAAAAAAACATCCCCTCGAATGGTTGGTCTTTTATGAAATAATGAAAACCTCTTCTAAAAGAATATTAACACCATTGTTTGTTTGAGAAATACTCTACAATGAAAATGAATTACAGATGTTATTTAACAAAAACAATCTTTATCATCAAAGGATATATATTTCCAGAATTATTTTATTTATTTATTTTTCATAATACAACGATATATGACCGCGTTCTAACTAGATACCAATACGCCAAGGGAAATTCGGTCCGTGGTTACTTCACAACGGTATCGTAGGTACAAAGACTCGGACCAATTTCCAGTATAAACAAACAACCTCCAAAAATCTATTTGAGGTGATAATAGAACATGGCAGAGATAAATTGGAGGATAATAATTTTAAAACAAAGTATTGATGGATAAGATTAGCTTTCACTCTGCTGGGAAAAGATTAAAGACTTCAGAGCGCGAGTGTTTTGTTTCTGGTAAACTTAATTAAATTCCAATAAAACTTATTGTTTTTATAAGAATGTTATCATCTTAGTAAGTTATTTAGTAACCAGAATTTTTTCATATATATAAAAGAGAATTTTGACTCATACGAAATTATCAATTTTCAAAGAAAAGTTTTTAAAACCTAATTTTCTAACGTTTAAACTTTATAAATGTCATTCGTCCAAAGCGCTTTTCTGGATTTACCTTCATCAGGAACGCTCAAAGCCAAATATTTGAAAGCCAAGGATGTATAAAAATTAAATGTTATAATTGAAAAAAATATACCAACCGAAAAATAGTTATATTTACAAAAGGATAAAACAAGTTTTAGTAGGACAAAATGCATATATATGAGAATTGTGGTGGAACTAAGCAAATTCCCCACTATCTTTCAACACATGCACATAAGTTCTAAAATTTCTATTTCTCATAAAAGACACTAATGTATCTAATTTTTACACATATACAAATGGTTATATATTAAAAGCGATTTATTTTTGGAAATTTTTATTCAATGTATTCAGTTTTATAAAACATTTTAAAAATTCGGCTCTCAGTATTTTGAGTTAAAACTCTACAAAGAGAATGACAAACGATATGTGAAAAAAAATCGGTATATTGAAGAAAACTTATATCTGTTTTGCTTGAAAAAAGTTGATACAAATGGGATATTCAATCAGAATTAATTTCTAAAGACGAAAAAGAATAATAAACATACTACAATATCGTTTTTGAACAAAGTCGTCTTCCTTTTATATATTTGAAAAAACACGACGAAAAAAGCCCACAGTTTACATTTCATTATTTATATATTTCCATTTGTAACATAATTTGTTTTAAAAAAATTATCATTATGGTATTAATCACACAAAAGATAATGGATTATGTAAAAATAATAATGATTATTACCCTTCATTAATTTATTAACTGCGGGACTAACATATCTTCTGTTAAAATCTGCAGTGCCGCCTACTGTGACAATGATGATACGACACTGACGCTAAAAGGGTAAATCTCGTGCCATGTCGTCATCCCGCAGTGAAGAGATTTATTAGAATTCCCCACCAATATTTTAACTGATTTTGACAAATTCTGAACAAATGATTTGTTTTCTCAATAAATAAAATTACAGATGTTACACTTCACCAAGATGAATGGAGTTTCCGTCAAATATTGTAGAGCTTTTAAAGAAAACTTGTTATTTTTTGTAAAGAAAAGTATATTTTAAGGGACGAATTTAAAATTGTGAATTACAAAACGCCAAACTCTAAAGCCCTTTCAGTAGCCTTGGGAAAATAACGAAAGAACTATTTTTCAAACCTTATCTCTAGGAACAGAATTTTTCTGTAAGTTTGAAATTTGTCAATGTATCTTATCAAAACATATTTGGCTTTTCAGACATGAGTAAAAAAGATAGTGTCATACACCAAGTAGATTAATGTAATTAATGTATTTCCCATTTTTGCCACATGTTCTAACTGCTTTGTTAAAATATACTGGCGTATGAAATTATTCTGGTTTCTCTTAGGATGTTGATTTATTAGAAAAATCTCAAACAAGATGTATTGTATTTGATTTTCGTATGTAAATGAATAAAAGAACGAACCGCATTTAATATTTTATTGGGTAATACAAAAAGGGACATTCAGTTGATGGTACAGCGCAATGTTCAAAATACGGAAGTCAAGTACAAAATTTCCCTCGTCAAATATTTCAATTTTTTCCCTGCAGTCTTGTTCGATTTCAGTCAAATATTTGATGTATTAACGTCTGAGACATCAGAATTTTCATGCATTAAAACTATCATGCTAGTTTGATTCGATTTTCTATTGAAAAGTTGTATTAAAAAAGAGCTTAAAATATTTACCGGCTAGTGCTAAATCCATGGCTTCTGATGAACTTGGTGGATTTGGTCCGTATGGAGAATGGTCACCGGAACTAGAAGGCGACATACTATGGATGGAACCAGTGCTTCCGGAAGGACTCATCTGTTGCTGCTTTAAATAAGCTCTTTGTGCGTTCCATGAATTAGAAATGTTTTGCATTGTATTATGGTCTCTTTCATACATCGAAGGTGTCAAATTATTTGAATTTGTCATATAGTCATTTTCTAAACCAGGCATACCACAGCCGGAAGAGCCATAACGGCCATTTACTGTCATATTAAAGCTACAATTTACGTTGACATTCGGACTTTGTTGTCCCATAGCTGTATAGTTACAGTGAGGTAGAGAAGAAGTAGCAGACGGCATGATATGATTGTTTGTGTCGTACGACTGCGGAACACCTCCAGTGCATGGCATATTCATTGCATTCATATTACTATTTTGGTGAAAAAGATCATAATGTGGTCCCATCATGTTCGGTGCTCCATTCATCCCTAGCATTCCGAAGGGTTTTAAGGCTTGACATTTTCTTCTGAAACCCCTTGGTCTTCTTCTGAAGGACCCCTCCTCAAACATGAACTCTGCTCCTGGATCGACAGTCCAATAATGTCCTTTTCCCGGACGTCCCAGACCTTTAGGTAACTTTATGAAGCATTCATTGAGAGAGAGATTATGTCGAACTGAATTCTTCCAACCTTGGTAAGCTCCTCTGAAGAATGGGAAACGTTGCTGTAAAAATTGATATATTTCACTCAATGTGCATCTTTTATTCGGTGACGCTTGGATGGCCATAACGATCAAAGCAATATATGAATATGGTGGTTTTTCTTGTCTGCGAACTCCAACTCCTGATTTCTTCGTTCCCTTTTGTTCCACTGACTGAGAATCTGGACTAAGCGAACAGTTTGTTGTTGTGGAAATCTCTTCCGAGCTAACTTCCGAGTCATTTTCATCATCTGACCCCTCTGGTTCGATCTTCGGAACAAATTTATTGTCAGTTGGCGGCAGAAGTTGCATTTGCCTAAGTTCTGTGATCTCGTTAGCACACGATACTGCCATTGTTTATTATTATTCTTGCACAATTTGTAAACAGTTATAAACAGTAGTTATATAAACACCGGCTAATCTGTTCACTTCAAAAGTCGATTTCAGTATCAATAAAATCCGAGAAATTTTAAACAGTTTGAAGAATCAATCAAAAGTAAAACTGGAAAATGTGAAAATCAATCTTTTCGGAAATCAAGCATTCTTATCAATAAGATGATGACTTGTTAGACATGGTTTTCTAAGATTAAGATAATACTGACATTGATCTCAGTTTTATGCATAATTTGGCACAGAAATTAACATCGTAAGCGATGCCGATGAAGCACCCTGCACGCGATATGATTGGTCAGCAGACGTGATGCTGGGAGTGTACTATTTAGATATATAGATAATCAGTTTAATTTCCGTAGTAAACAGTTTTAATACACATTTATATCAATGAAAAATAAAGTTTATACTTTTTTATTTAAATTTGTTACAAATATTTTGATAGTTTCGGCGTTAACAAAATCAACTAAGAAGTTTCTTCTGACAAAATAAACTATTTGATTCTAACGTGATTTTGCTGTGAAAAACGAGAGCTGAAGTATAAATACATGACATGAATACCAACACATTTTATTTAAACAAAAATAAACAAATTAAGTATTAATAATGCAATTACTGCCTATTTAATCTACTGTTCATTTAGGTAGAACATGAAGGTAAGAAAAATGTATACCTTCTTTAACAATTGCATTGGTTTAATATGCGTTTGGATTTTAAAATTAAACGAATAGATAAATAATAATAAATAAAAATAAAATTGTTTATAAATTTACACATTCACAAATTGTTTTAATAAACCAATTTATAGTAATAATGAATTCAACTGTAAATAATGTTTTTTGTATTTAAAAATAGTAACTGAAGATATCAATAAAACGAAATCTTCCTGATGGCATAATTTTGGTGTTGTTATAATTGTAATCATAGAAATTTTACTCTAATAAAATTGAGAATGGAAATGGGGAATAAGTCAAAGAGACAACAACCCGACCAAAGAGCAGACAACAGCCGAAGGCACACATTCAAAAAATTCAATCAGTCTTCAAATATGAGGTCAGATATGTTGGATCGCAAATTTCACATTTTTTTTTCTGATCAACAAAACATTATCTATAGGCCATTTTATAGCTTCTGCGTTCTTATTCGCCATCATCATCATCATTATCTAATGTCAGAAATATATTCAACAAAAATCAAGCAATATTGTTGCAAGGAATTGAATATACTATTACCAAATAGCCACCGTGGACAAGATGGCAGCCTGATATGACCGCAATGGTGCTATGTCATGTCAGAATTATCATGTCCATCTTCAGTCAGCAGACGGTATATAACACACGCATTTCTCGGTGATTATCATAGGAAATCATTTTTCGACAAATTGGTCACACCTATCTCATAAGTTTTCATATTCATCCAATCAGATGATCATTTATTGGTCAGGGGTTATCTAGTTTCCTCGGCGTGATATCGTCAAAAACTTATTAAATCGTATGGAAAATGACACATATGAAATACAGCATTCAATTACTTACTGATACCACACACGCCGATGTATTCTTCTGTTTCGTAATGACGTATTTTTAATGATGCTTTGATTCTTTTTTTCAAAAGTTTTTTTTCTAATTTTACAAGAGTTATCAGTATGAAAAACTCCCACAAATGTCAAGGGTAATCATGGAAATACATATATATTAAGTAATTAACTTTCAAACTGAGTACACGTTCGTCATGGATAAAAAACTATATTTCTTTTTTTCAAAGAATATTTTTTCTGCCATGATGTTTTACAGTGCAGATTGGAATCTGAAAGAACGACGTTTTACTGAGATAACCAATAGATTTCCGACAGACTATTATCATCAGTTTTCCAAAATTTCCAAATGTTTGTCCTGTTGTAGTCACGTTGCCCATTCGTCTATTTTGTCCCTTTGAATTACTAATACCAAATATTAAAACGACTATATGAACTGCATCTAAAATATTCGGTTCTTGCTAATTTTCTCGGTTGTTATATATATACTAGTATATAATCCCCCTTTTCATTGTAGCTTTTTTTAATAATTTGTCACAGAAAGTTGTAGAATTTCTTAATACTAGTACCTGACTTTACGACTCTGTTGTTTACATCGTAATGTACATTCAGGGCAATTTACATGTACATGTTTTTCCAGACCCAATACAATAAAATTGAGAATGGAAATGCATATGAAGCTAAATACACAACATTAAAATCGGGAAATAGATATATTAAATATTGAGACATATTTTTCCACTTCAAGTTCAGGTAAGATTATTATTCCAAATAACAAATTCCTCATTTTTACTTATCACATGGTTGGTTGACCAAGTCTTTTTTTAAATGCCAAAGCGCAAGAACACTAAACTGTTACATTATTGTTTGGTTAGGAAAACACGAAATACCTATATACAGTGCTTATAATTCAGTAATAATATCTTATGACATTATGACACTAACAGATCAATGTCTCAATATAGACACACACACACACACACACACACAAAAAAATCAAAAAGACAACATAAAAAAACCTAACCCAAAATCAAAAACGGGCAAGACATGGTAAACTAAGTTATGATAGATGTAGGTATAAATATTCAGGACGGTATATCGGAGTTTCATATCACTCCCGTGCACGGTTCCAAACACTATACACAGTGTTATAAACCTAGTTTCACAACATTCTTCAGTTTACAGAGTTTGGAACCTATAGGTTAAAAAAAAATTAAAAAAAATAAAAGCGCTTCGGACGTATGAAATTTTTATAAAGTGTTGTTTTCATTTTTAATAGCACTGGGTCGATACCGCTGCTGGTGAGAGCAAATAATCGACATATACAACTTGGTCACTTGTTCTTAAATACACCTTTATGTTTCTTATGTATACCCTGAGTTCACCTATGAAGCTGTGCCACTGTAAATTTCAAAAAGACTGAGACCTTTTAAAAATTGCCTTGCCGTGAAAAGAACAACCTGTTCCATTCTTTTTCAATATTTTTTTTATCTTATGAGTCGGGAACTCTAATGTGTATTTCAGTCCTTAACAAGACAAATACCCAGATGAGAATATTGTCGTTTTTTCAAAGTCTAGTATAAATGGAGATGTAGGTAAAAAATATATATATATATATAAGCTTTTTTTTTTATTTCTTATGGCTTTCATGCTCTCAAACCTTTTATACTTATTGTTTCCAAAAAACTGTCGGTCTCGAGTGTATCTGGTGAGGGTTAATTCAACGTCACGCGTTTTGAGAACGGAAATCATACGACGATATATTGTTGAAAGGTAAAATTAAACAAAATAAAAAATTAGAAAGAAAAATAACGCGAAATATTTTAATCGTATTAAGATGATATAAAGCCATTTGAAAATACACACAAGAAATACAAGACGCAAATATATTTTAAATTGTTTTTATCGATACTATTATTCATTTTGTTTAAAAAAAAATTAAAACGTAACTTGATAGAACAGTTATACGAACTAAAGATCTTAAATCCTGTCGTTTCTCTTTACTTATATTTTGACTTTGCACAAGGTCGTGCGTTTCTCAGACTGTTTATGACATCTTTATATTAAATCCGATGGATGTGTACTGATTGATATTTTAGTCTGGGGAGCATGATTTATTTTTAGTTTTAATTGGCCTAGAAGTAGCTTTCAGTAACTGCAAAAACTCTTATTTCGGTGCTTTGTGTCTATTGTTTTTATGTTAGGTGTTTTTGTGACTCGTACCGATCTTGTGAGTTAAGCTAATTGCAACAGCGATCAATTAAAAAAAAAACTTGCGAGAAAAAAGTCATGAACATTTCAGTATAAGTTACGATTAACTTTTGTCGTAAGATTTTTTGTAAAGAGAGCCTGATTTTTACAGTTTTTTCTTATGTTGTGCTGTTTCACCACTGCCTCAGATTAGGAGAGGGTTGAGCACTCATAATCATGTTTAACCCCACCACATTCTTTATGTGCCTGTCCTTAATACCGAACATATTGTGCAGTGGTTGTTGTCGTTCATTTCTGTTTTATTTGTTTTTCGTAAATTGCTTGGTTAAATTAGGCCGTTAGTTTTCACGTTTCACATTTTTCATGTTGGGGCCTTACGAAGCTGACTATGGTTGTCTTTTGTTAGTGTGGTTCATAAGTGTTTCTCGTTTTTTATATAGATTAGACCGTTGGTTTTCCTGTTTGAATTGTTTTACACTAGTCATTTTGGGGCCCTTTATAGCTTGCTGTTCGGTGTGAGCCAGGGCTCCGTGTTGAAGACCGTACTTTGACCTATAATTGTTTACTTTTTATACAGAGAAAAGTAAATGTACTAGTAACTGAAGTGTGGTTCAGGAGTCAGACCTTAAGTTATAGACTGTTACTCAAACTTAGCCTAAATATAGAGATTGTGACTTGGATGGAGAGTAGTCTCATTGACACTCATACCACGTCTTCTTATTTATAAAAATACATTTTTCTCATTATCATAGGGCGTACGGTGGCCTATAATTGCTTACCTTCACTTCATTTTAACTCTGGTGGATAGTTGTCTCATTGGTATTAATCTTACCACATCTCCACATTTTTATATGTATACAATTTTGTAACCGTTTTTAATAAATCTATATATATTTTCACCCAAAATGAACGACGATAAACGAGCCCAAAACGTTTTGCTTTAAAAATAATGTTTCAATAAAAGTTCTCATGAAATTCATTTGTTTTATTACATTCGTTCTTTTACTAAAAATTTCTATATTTGGGCTAAGTTTAAATAAAAGTCTATAACTTAAGGTTTGACTCCTGAACCACACTTCATTTACTAGTATATTTACTTTTCTCTGTTCTAATAGTTCATATAGTTCAGACTTGCCCGATTCCTTCGTACATTATTTAAAATGGAAGACCTTATTGAAAACTATTCCTCAGAAACTGCAATTATCTTAAATAATTTGA